CCCCCAAAAAAAAAAAAAAAAAAATTAGAGCAGTCACTTACCTGTCATTGCTACTGACAATGAGCTTCCATTTTGACACGTTTGAAATCAAAAGGTTTGAATACTTGCCAAGGACCTCTCCACTATTCATCCCCCTTTTCTCTCCCCCACCCACGTGTCTCTCACCCACTGACTCCTCAATTTACACCTTCACTGACTGCCTGTCTTGTATGCAGCGCAGCCTCTGACTTCTTTACTATTCATTCCATCCAGTAAGAGCACACACCAACTGCAGAAACTTCCTCAGCCTGATGAAAGGTTTTTAAACCCGAAAGCTTGCTTAAAATTTTTATTCCAGCTATTTAAGTTGGTCTAATAAAAGTTATCAAATTCACCCAAAGAACCTTGTCTGCCGAAGGTGTGAATACTGCAGTTTCTGAACTACTTTTCAATACGGTTAAGTTACCATGACTGCCATTACCTCCTAAGGAAATAAAAATCCATAATCTCCCTTTGCTGCCTGTGCTAGTTTTTGTTTTGCTGTGCCTCTCACGGAAGAGAGAGAGAGTCAGAGAGAAGTACATAATAGCTTCTTGTTGCTGAGCAAGGAAACTGCTGTGTTGTGTACCAGCTGAAGTTTTATCAGTCTGGCTTCATTCCCAGATAAGTATTACAGCAACTGAGCCTAGAGATGACACACACAACATGGATCACTGGCAAGATAGGGACAAAGTCTGTGGGCCAGATGTAGATGTAAGCAAATGTTTTTCAGTCTCCAAGTCATCTGCTCTCAAATGATCATGGACAGTTTGTCAAAACAGTTTCCTCTTCCCTACCAGACTTCCTTCTGACTTACCTTCGTTCATTTTCAGTGAGATGGTCCTCATTGAATCATAGAAAATTAGGGTGGGAAGGGATCTCAGGAGGTCATCTAGTCCAATCCCCTGCTCAAAGCAGGACCAAATCCAACAAAATCATCTTAGCCAAAGCTTTGTCTAGCTGGATCTTAAAAACCTCCAACGATGGAGTTTCCACAACCTCTCTGGGTAACCTGTTCCAGTGTTTTACCACCCTCCTAGTAAGAAAATTCTTCCTAATATCTAACCTAAACTTTCCTTGTTGCAACTTGAGACCATTGATCCTTGTTCTGTCATCTGCCACCACTGAGAACAGTCTAGCTCCATCCTCTTTGGAACCGCTCTTCAGGTAATTGAAGGCTGCTATTGAAACCCCTCTCAGTTTTCTCTTCTGTACACTAAATAAACCCAGTTCCTTCAGATTCTCCTCAGAAGTCTTGTGCCCCAACCCCCTCACCATTTTTGTTGCCCTCCTCTCTCTCCAATTTGTCCACATCCTTTCTATAGTGGGGGGCCCAAAACTGAACACAGTACTCCAGATGTGGCCTCACCAGTGCTGAATAGAGAGGAATAATCACTTCCCTTGACCTGCTGACAGCACATCTATCAATGCAGCCCAGTATGCTGGTAGCCTTCTTTGCAACAAGGGAACACTGTTGGCTCATGTTCAGCTTATTGTCCACTGTAACCTCCAGGTCCTTTTCTGCAGAGATGCTGCCTAGCCAGATAGCCCCCAGGCTGTACCGGCGCATGGGACTGTTCCATCCTAAGTGCAGGACTTTGCATTCATCTTTGTTGAACCTCATGAGATTTCTTTTGGCCCAATCCTCCATTTGTCACTCTGAATCTTAGCCCTATCCTCCAGCATATCTACTACTCCCCTCCTAGCCCAGGTTGGTGTCATCTGCATACTTGCTGAGGGTGTACTTTGTGCTATCTTCCAGGTTGTTGATGAAGATATTGAACAAAACCAGTTCCAGACACCGACTCCTAGGGCACTCCTCTTGACACCAGCCTGATGCTCCAGTCGGTTTTATATCTACCCTACAGTCCATTCATCCAGCCCATACTTCCTTAGCTTGCCTGGAAGAATGTTCATAGACATTAGGGGCTGGAAGGGACCTCATGAGATCATCGGGTCCAGCCCACCCGCCATAGGCAGGAAGTCAACTGGGATCAAGTGACCCCCAGCAAGAAGTATATCCACCTGTTTTCTGAAAAAGTCCAGAATAGGTGCTTGCATATGGTAGAACCCATGGGGAATCTCCCAGCAGAGAATTCCCAGGCACATGTACAGTGCTTCTACAGCCCTGACTCAGGGAGTGACAATGGGACAGGTACACTCGAGTTTCCACTCAATTAGCAAAGACACACCCTGTTATCCTGCCAAGCTGGGACCCTGCAGCTTCTTGGAGTGGCAGATTCCAATCCTGGTGGACAACGGGCAATATCTGTTTCACCCAATGAAACAAATCCATTGTGCCAGGACACATCCTGGCACAACTAATCCACTGAATTTGGCAATGTCTGTTTATAGTATGAGAGAAGGCTCTTCAATC